GCAGAGAGCAGAGAGCACCCGCATCCCTCCAGCGAGCGAAGCATCACACTCTCTGCCCTCCAGCCAAATCCTGGCGTGGCCCTGCCTGCTGCCCCGCATCACCTGTCCCACCACATCCCCGTCTCCCCTCCTCCCTGCAAAACCCCCAAAACATCCCCATTTTGGAGCAGCCCAAGCCTCCCAATGCCACTATTAACCCCGTTTCAGGGCTCTGTCAACTGGAAGCTGTTGACACTGGAAGACCTTTCGTGGCCGAGACAAACAGCCATCCATGGGTCTCCTGGCACAGCACGGTGGTTATGGGTGGAAGCAGCCCCATCAACTGAGAGCCACTGATCACCACCCACCAAGGCGCATGTGCTTCCTTAAAAAACCCATTTAAAGCTGCTTTTCCCGCTGGGTTTCTTCCTCCCAGCTCTTCCTCCCGCTCCCTTATCGGCTGGACACAACCACGCTCCGGCGTTTCGGAAATATTGAGGCAGAGAGAGCCCTGGCTCACAGCACCTTACATCACGTTACACAACACTGCCGGCTTGGCCGCTAAGGATCATCTCAAATCCCAGACTTTAACGAGCGCTTCCTCCCAGGGCTCGTAAAACCTCTCCCCGAGCGCAGCGGGAGGGGGGCTGGCACCTCTCCACCGCTCAGCCATTTATTCCAGCTGCAGACGCGAGGGCTCTTGGATGCGTTGTGCAACATCTGCCGTCCGGCCAGACCTGCCCCGCTCCCCATTCACACCCATTTTTGGGGGGCTGAACTGGGGCGTACTAAGCACGGGGACTCACAGACCCTCCCAAATGTTTCCCTCAGACTTTGCAGCTGCTTGAGGGAGCCGGAGCACCTTAAAGGGAGCAAAGAGCTCCTCTTCCCCCCTGGAAAAGGTGGGGAGGGTTTGCAAACATTAGCTCAACCTGCAGATGAAAAATCTGTTGCCAGCATCTAGAGACAGCGTCGAGCCCTGGTGCCATGGGGGTAGTGCCATCCGCTCAAGGGTAGATAGTGCGATAGCATCCCAAGAGACTCGCACGGTGCAGGATAGACGTACGACCTGGCAGCTGCCGTTAGCCAGCTATTAAACATGCACTGATCACCCAAGCACTGCAAGTCTCCCCCGTGCCAAAAGCCAAGGGAAAGAGAGGAAAACGGGAGGCAACGCTCCCCGAGCAAAGCAGGAGCGGGCAGGTGGTGCAGCACCTGACGGAGCTCCCTGGGCAATGCCCTGCCCGCGCTTTTTGGGCAAGGCAGAAAGCTGGTGCTGCAGCCGAATTTAATCCCTGTGCCGCTGCCTGCACGAGGACTCACCTTGATTGCCTTGTTACAAAAGAGCAAAAATCAGCTGGGTTTAAACAGCTTGCCAACTTGCAACCATCATTCCCCTCTTGTCTTATAGTAGCAGGTTTTCTGCTCCCTCCTGCCAAATTTCTTGCATTTGCACATGCAAACAGAAGCCAGTCCCTCCTGCCTGCACTGTCCCTGCCATCCCCAGGATGTCACCTGGATGTCCGCTGCACATTCAAAGCTATTGCTCCTGGTGCACTTTCCTATCAGGCAGCCTGACGGCATCCTCGCCACTTGCTATAACCTCCTAAACCCATTAAAATTAAATTTGCTAATTAATTTGCTAATAATTTGCAAACTCCTCCAGAGGAGAGCTCAGCTCTTTCCCTCCCAGGCGTGATGCTGATTGTGCCATTAAAAAGTAATATTCGGCCACTGATGGACAGGCAGCAAGCACTTAATTTGGGGAAAGATGGCAGAATTTAATTAATTAATAATTAATTAATTTAATTAAAGGCCAGATCAGCAGCTGGAGTGCATTGCTGGAGCTGGCTTGGGAGCACCGCCAGCTCACCCAGCTGAGGATCTGGCCAGCACTCCTCCGCTTGATCCTCACTGCCTTATTTTTACATTCATCTTCCAGCTGAAGCCCAACTGGAAGACATAAATAACAGCGAGCTGGCTGGGCACGGGAGGGATTGCAGCATGTTTCCACTAGCAGGGCCACGAGGAGGAAAGGAGAGGATTAGTTTTGCGGCTCTGGGGGTTTACGGCATCGTTTAACGAACAAACAAAATGGCATAATTGAAATGCATCCTCTTTAGCTCTGGTGGGGCAGGCAGGAGAACCCCCCAGGCATCCTTCGCTGAATGCAAAACCCCGACAGAAGGGCTGGGGGGGACAATCTGACCGGGGAGGCAAAAGCACCCTGCAGCCGGTCCCCTCTGCCTCTCGCCCTCCCCGAATAACAAACCCCAGTTACCAAGGAAGCCTGCCCACGCAGGGAGGACCAGCGCCGCTGCCTGCAGCGTTGAAACCCCCCTGCACTGGCCGGGCGGCATTCGCCTGGCACCGCCGGAGCGGCACCCAGCACCGGCCCTTCACCCACGCCTTGTCCGGGGGATGCATGTGGGACAGCCGCTTCCAGAGAGAATCTGGCGGAAAATTAAAAGTTCTTCCAGTTCTTCCAGAAAACGGGGAAACCCTCCCGAGACACAAAACCTGCGCCAGAAATACACACTATTTTTTTTCTTTTCTGCTGTTCTCTACTACTCTACGCTCAGGGCGAAGCCTCGGCAGGCTGATGAGCCCCAACCTTGGCCCAAATCATTTCACCTCTCTGGATTTGAGAAGAGAAACTAAGATCTCAACTGTACAACAACAAGGTGACTCGGTGGCTGTGCCTCCAGAGGAGACGTGCCGGGATGTTGAGGCAGAGCCCTCCCACCACCAGGACCATGGGGTGCCCGTCACCGAAGCCCCCCTGGCCAGCACCACCTCCCCATCCCACCCCATGCCCTTGGGTGATGGCACCCTACCTGCCACCTCCACGATGTCCCCGGGGACAATGTCCCGGGCGCGGATCCGCTGCACCCCGCTGCGGTCGGCACGGATCACCTTCCCCATCTCGGGCTCATACTCCTTCAAGGCTTCGATGGCACTCTCGGCGTTTCTCTCCTGCAAGCAGAGGAGGAGCAGAGCTGCTGGCGGTGGGGTTGCTGGTGCTGGCAGGCTCCCTCCCCACCCTCTGCCAAGACAGGAGCACCCAAACCCCAGCCCTGGCTTTGGCATCCATTTGCACCATGGATGGGGCAAGTGCCACGTCCTCTTCAGCAGCTCTGAAATGGTCCCCGCTGGCTTAAATCACACCAGGTCCTGGGCACTGCATGGATCTTTGGGCTTGATTTTCTCATTCTTGGTTTGGGAAGCAGCATATCCCACCCAGATGTATTTTTCCCCACCCAGCAACCCTACCTCATATCAAGCTGCAGATAAATAAATGGCCTTAAAGCGAATATGTACAAGAGGAGGAGCATCGCTGGCTGAGGCGTTTACTCATCCCCCAGGAGGGATACAGCAAGGCGAGGGGCAGCAGTCACCATGGCTTTCTGGTAGACAGGGCAAAAAGCTTCCCTTGGAAAATGCATTTAGCCACGGCCAGGAGACAAGCAGCGTTTGCCTGGATGGCAAGTAAGTGCAAGATCCTAAACTCCAAACTGCAAAAGTTGCCAAAGAAAGATTGAAGGAACAAGCCAAGAGGCAGCCAATGACTGAGCATCTGCACTGGGGCACGGGGCAGCACGGCCCACGTGAAAATTGAACTTTTGAGAAACGAGTTTCTAACAGCAAGAAGCAACCAGACCTTCAAATGAAGCGTCTCAGCCATGTGGAGCAGAGACCTGCGGGGCAGGCGGGCTGGGGCTGCGACTTACCTGCCACACACCCACCACGGCATTGGCAATCAGGATCATAATAATGACGATGGGCTCCACGAACGCCGTCGTGGTCTCCTCTCCTTCTTCAAACCAGGCCAGGATCTGGTAGGCAAGAGAAGAGAAGGACCACAATGCGGTTGAAACAACAAGCGCCACCATTTTCAGAAGAAGGACAACACAAGAGCCAACCAACGTGTGGTGTTTGCTGGAGAGAAGACAACCCAGAGTGGTGGCCAGCCCACCACAGCTTGGTTTAAAGCGTGAACTTGCCATATCCCACTGCCGGTGCTTAACTCAGGTGCCTCCACTCTTCTTCTGGGAATAACCTAATGCATCAAATGAGCAGGGCTGGAGCAAACGGCCACGCAAAGTCTGGATGAGTATTTGCACCAGGAAACCATCTATTTTTGTTTAGTGCACCCAGGGGGAGACCATGGTCATGAGCAGATGAGCGGGGAGACCAGGCAGCACTGCCCGCTTCTCAAACAGACACTGCCAGCAACAGCTGGGCAGCCACTGCGGTCGCCGTCTGCAGCACGGTCAGCCTCCGAGAAGGCCCTCCTGGGCAGAAGTTAAGCTATGCAATACGAGTAATTGATGCAGTAAGAGCAGCTCTGCAGAGCAGGAACTAACCTCGTGGCTTCTTACCACCCTGAGCCCCCTCTCCATCCCACAAAGACCTCATACCATGATACAAACGAAGCACACACTCACACACACGTGCACGCAAATATTTTCACTCCATTTAACTGCTTGTTGACCTGCGCTGTGTCAACATAGCAACACCTCGCTGCTCTGTGGCAGAGGCACCGGCACAAAGAACCTCTGACACAGGGGTTCACGCGTGCTTTACCGATTAGCAGAGCCACTGCGGCAGATTCAGCCATCAAGCAGATTGCAACAGCTCTGCAAATTCACCAGCAAGTGGGTCACTGCATCTTGTTTCAGGAAGGTATTGAACCTTGCAAGGGACCAGCCTCCCTCCTTATCTGCCCACGAGTCATATCCGAGAGGAGGGGACACGAGACTTGGCTTTGCCATCCCACTGCCAAACACCCTGAGTCTACTCAAAAAATAAGTATTTCTCAAGTAGCTAAGTGGGAAACATCTCCTCATGCAGAGTTGCTCCCAAGGTAAACTGTGGGCAAAAGTAAGCTAAAAGCTCAGTACTTGGGCACCACAAATAAGGCTCAAATCAGCAATCAGGGACCAAGGTGCCGCTGACGATGAGCACTTCCAAGGCACCACGGAGTGCAAGTACAAAGGGGTTCATATTGCAATTATTCAGTGCCACCCATAAAGGAAGCTGTGCTAACCACATGGACGTTGAGTTTAGCTGATCCCACATCACCTCTCAGCATTGTTAAGCGTGGAGGAGGTCAGCAGCGCTCACGGGTGCCAGCTCACCGAGCCTGGTGATGCACCCGCTGCCGGCTGACTTTGCCTACATGCCCTGGGGAGGAGAACCTGCTCTGTGCTCGCAGGAGGTGCTGGGGGCGAATCACAGTGCCTCCTGGGGAAAGGCGTGTAGGGATGCAGCCTCCCCCCGGCGAAGGCGGGAGAAGAGCCCTGCAGGAGATAAGCCACTGAGGAAGGAAATGTTTGAAGATAAGCAATAACACCATCCGGGGAAGTAAAGGCTGGATGGCACCAGGGACACCCTGAAGGCACCACACTGGCAGCTCCAGTGGCAGGAGCAGCCTGGGCTGGGCTTCACGCCCTGCTAAACACAAGGAAAACCCAACCCTAAGCAGCTCTCTGACATTACCCGAACGTAACGTCATGTTTTGCTGCTGCGTGATGCGCTGGGAGGTGTATTTTGTCAGCGAGCCTTAACCCTGCCCCACACATCAGCAAAGGTGTAAAGAAAAGCTATACGCCCCGCACTGTGCCCAGCCGTACCCGACACCTGCCCTGAGCATCACCAGCCTGGGCATCACCAGCCCAGGATCTCTGAACCCTCCCAACCACGTGGGCAGGACGGGAAGGCAACGAACAGCAGGCAGGAGACACCTCCCACGCAGGCAGCCGCAACGCTGCCAGTCCTGCTCAGCCAGAAGCAGGGAAAAAAAATTAATAATCAAGCAACAGATTGGATTTTCATTTTTAATTGAAAATGTGAATGCTTCTGCGCAGCAGCAGAAGGGCTCCGGGAGGGAGACTTCACTCCAAGGAGGGCAAACGCACGGGGTTTGGAAATGCTCCCAGCCCCGTCTTTGCCTGCATACGCGGATGTGCACGCTTTAGGCAGGTGCCTGCCCCGCTGCCTGCACCCCAACAGAGGTGAAGGTGATACGTGGAGTTTCTGAGTCGGCTTCAGGCGCCTGAAGCACTGCTCTCACCTCTCATCACCCATCACCCAGTGCTCTGGCCAAGAAAAAGCAAGCTGTGCGACGTCCTGGCAACCTCTCCGGGCATGCAGGGAGGTGGTGCCGGGACCCTCCAGCTCCCAGCACCTCCCAGTTCCCTGAGGATACAGGGCTTGGCCATTACAGCAGGAATGCACGTGCACCATGGACATGCACATCTCCATGTGTCAGAGACATTGTCCTCCGTTTCAACGGATCCTGACATGGATCTGGTCATGCTGACACTTAATACTTTCAAAAATATCCAAGGAAAAAAATAAAGATAAAGAATAAAGAAAAAAACTTTCCCTTTCTGTTTTAACCATCTATGCAAGGTGAGGGACAAGACACGTTTTACTGGATGAAACATGGCATTGAAAAGCAATCGGTAAGAATGAAAATCAGAGAAGGGACTTGCAAATAGGTTGTTTGGGTCCTAACTCAGTGAAGAGCCTGAGCACAGACCTCACTCCAGACACTGGCCATGACAGCAAGTATGGGGGGCAGGAAAGCCGATAGCATGAAAAACGATGAAGGGAAAACATATAACGGACTTAAGAGGGGAGCTAAAAGATATATAGTAGCAAAGGTACCTTCTAACCTAAAAACATAGGAAACTTTGTTGATAAAAATCTTGCAATGAGATAGAGACACGTCCAAAGGACCTGTGCAGACCTCAGGTTGGGTCTGCAAACAATGACAAAAAACTATGGATCACAGGAAAAAGCATCCCAGGACTGAGAGCTTTGGGCAGCCCTCACCTGCCTTTCTTTGGCAGCCCCTTCCCAGTCCCACTCTCACTGCGGCTCTGCGCTTGCTCTCTCCTAACCCTAACCCTACACGATGCCCAGGGCCAGCACCCATCCCACCCGGCATCCCACCAAAACGTGCCCAGGACTGAATGTTTCCATGGCCCTTTTCTGCCTTTGTCTGGTACAGTCTTGGGGAAATAGAAAGAAGCCCAGGCAGTCGTTCGATATCACTTTTGGGTGGACCAGCATTACTGAAAAAGCCTACAGTCTCGTCTTTTAAGTAGATACAATGATATTGTCACTATGCCCTAGAAAACCACTGCACTGCCGGCACATCTCCTTCATCCGACATGCACCTGCCTCTGGCTCCTTTGCTATCTGGCTGCCACCCGGGTCTGTACGTGCCCTGGAAGGTGCCCATCCCCAAACCTGGGGTACTTACGAATGACAGAAAAGCTGCCATCAAAAGGATGCGGACGAGGAGGTCTTCAAACTGCTCCAGCACCAACTCCCAGAGGGACTTTCCTGGTGGGAAAACACAAAGCCAAGCACAGTCAGTGCTCAAAAAAAAACCCAGACAGGTAGTTTAGACCACTGAGGCCACTAAGGCCAACAGGACCCTGTCCCCCGCTTGCAGCAGAGCTGCTCCAGTGCCCGTCGGCCATGGGCACTAACAAGGACATCCAGCACTGCAATGGGGGATTTTTGTCTCCAGTATTAAACACCTTCATTTCTGGCGTTGACTTGGTTTTGCTATGTCCGTTTTTAACTACAGAAACCAAAACCTCTGTGTTTCTATTCACAGCTGGTAGCCTTGCCGTCAGGGGAAAGCTCTGCTGTCAACCCAGCTTTCCCTGGGATTAAAACCAAGATTAAAAGACCCCAAAGACTACCCCTCCTCCAGCAGCCTCGGCCCCAGCACTCCCCACCCAGACTCAAGGCACATACCCACCCTCGCCTCCAGCCCGTGACTTACCTTCTTCTGCAGGGAGCTCTGTGGGTTTCCATCAACAGCCCAGCAAGCATAACAAAGTAAAAAATGATAAAAATAAAAAGATTAATTAGTGATTTGGGCCCAGGCTAGCAATCCCTTCCCTTATGCCCCAGCAGTCCGCTCAGTACCCCAAAATGCAACTTATCCTGCACATATTCCCTCATTAACAAAGCTTGTCATTGAACGTCTCAGTCTGACACCAAACAAGCAGCACTGGACGCTCCCCACACCAGGGAAACATCGTTTCCCTGCTGCAAGCAGCTCCGGCAGCATTTATTCCTGCACTCAGCCTGCCTAAAAAATACTCCTCAGGAGCTGCCCTCTCCAAATCCAGGACACAGAGGTCCAACCAACCTGTAAAACACCCTGCCAGAAACCCAGTACGGACCTGCTGGGGACTATAACTTTCAGACCACGTTTCCTGTTAATCAGTTGTACTTTACAGCCTGC